GTCTCTCTACAGATGGCCATTAGCCTCTTGAGCAGCTGCTCTGTCTGCTTCTCACATCTCCTGAACAGCTCCACACCTGAGCTCTCCTTCACACTCCTGACAGGATGACAATAGCTGCTTTATAATAAACCACTCATTCCAGCCATTCACAAGGTTCCCCGAGAGGCCTTTGCCGCACTTAAAAGTCAGATTGAGAGGAAAACACGAAGCCCCTTCATGCACCGTAATGTTTTCTTTTAGAATGCTATAAGAGTTACACAGTGGTTGATCATCCAATTTAAAGCAGGTCTTTTGAGCCATTTTTTGATGAGTTGGTGATGATGGTGTATGAGAACTGCATGTTGATTAGCCCAGTCACAACAGTTATTTGGCCTTAGTTACCTGGATATCTGGGCTCGATGAGAAAGTTGATGAGTGCTTATATAGTATAAATATATGCAGGAGTTTACTATCTAAAACAGATTCACTGGTCATGCTTGAATAGACCTTTAAACATTAATTTTGTGCAAAATGATGGAATTTTGTGGGCTTTGAGAAATTTAGAGTAATTAAAACTTGGTGATACTGTATGTGACTTTGAAATTAAATATTATAGCTTCATTTTTAACAAGTACTTCATATTGTTATACAATCACTGGCCACTTTATTAGGTACACCTGTCCAGCTGCTCGTTAACCCAAATTTCTGATTAGCCAGTCACAGGGCAGCAACTAAATGCATTTAGGCATGTAGACATGGTCAGGATGATCTGCTGCAGTTCAAAGTGAACATCAGAATGGGGAAGAAAGAGGATTTAGGTGACTTTGAATGTGGCATGGTTGTTGGTGCAGATGGGTTGGTCTGAGTATTTCAGAAACTGCTGATCTGCTAGGATTTTCTTGCACAACCATATGGGTTCACTGAAAATGGTCCAAAAAAGAGAAAATATCCAGACATTTGGATGGTAGGGTCCGAATGTAGCATCAACACCATGAAAGCATGGATCTATCTTGCCTTGTATCAACGGTTCAGGCTGGTGGTGGTGGTGTAATGGTGTGAGGGATATTTTCTTGGCACACTTTGGGCCCATTCGTACCAATTGAAGATTGTGTTAATGCCACAGCCTAGCTGAGAATTGTTGCTGACCATGTCCATCCCTTTATGACCAGTGTACCCATCTTCTGATGGTTACTTCCAGCAGGATAACACACCATGTCATAAACCACGAATTATCTCAAACTGGTTTCTTGAACATGACAATGAGTTCACTGTAATCAAGAGAAGGGAATATGTCCAGTACCTCTATTCTATTCTATTCTATTCTATTCTATTCTATTCTATTCTATTCTATTCTATTCTATTCTATTCTATTCTATTCTATTCTATTCTATTCTATTCTATTCTAATTCAAGGTTTTTTTTTTTATCTTATAGTAATTATATCAGTTTACACTTTTTAAGGTGTCCTTGTTACACTGTTAACAATTTCCTGTAGAATCTTCTGTACAGTAACTGACTGGCATCAGTTCACCAGTATTACTATAAATCAATAACAGGAAAATACTGTATTTACATTTAGAGCATCATTTATCTTGCTGTGTACGTATTTTACAGAATGTCTTTACTGTAAAATATAGTAATTTTCACAATGCAACCACAAAAATACAGTAGATACTGGATAACTGTCCTACAGTAAAATACAGTTCATATTACAGTTAAATACTGTGTAATTTGCAAAAATCGTTTACAGTGTCTATGTTTCATGTGCTTACCTTAGTAATTACAATGAGTTATAACTGCATGCAACAAACACTACAGTGTATTCTTTAGGCTACAAAAAGCTCACTTTTTCCAAAAACTTTTCGTATCACAAAGTTCCATAATTGTGTGATAAATGTAAAAAATTAAAACGTGGACAACTGTACACTACCTCACAAAAGACAAAAGTCTTGTCATCGATCCCAGTTGTAAGAGCAACAAATAATAACTTGACTTCTAGTTGATCATTTGGAAAAGTGGCAGACGGTTGATTTTTCCAGTGAATCATCTGTTGAACTGCATCCCAATCATCACAAATACTACAGAAGACCTATTGGAACCCGCATGGACCCAAGATTCTCATAGAAATCAGTCAAGTTTGGTGAAGGAAAAATCATGGTTTGGGTTCACAGTCAGTATGGGGGCATGCAAGAGTGGATGGCAACATCAACAGCCCGAGGTATCAAGACATTTGTGCTGCCCGTTACATTACAAACCACAGGAGAGGGCAAATTCTTTAGCCAGATAGCGCTCCTTCTCATACTTTAGCCTCCATAACAAAGTTCCTGATAGCAAATAAGGTCAAAGTGCTCTAAAATTGGCCAGCTCAGTCACCAGACATGAACATTATTGAGTTTGTCTGGGGTTAAGATGAAGGAGGAGACATTGAAAATGAATTCAAAGAATCTTGATGAATTCTGGAAGTCCTGCAAGATCGCTTTCTTTTTTGCCATTCCAGATGACTTTATTAATAAGTGATTTGAGTCATTGCAGAGATGTATGGATGCAGTCTTCCAAGCTCACAGGAGTCATACACAATATTAACTCTTTTTCCACTGCACCATAACTTTATATTCTATACTGTACATTATTTCTGTTAAGTGACAAGAACTTTGTCTAAGCAAAGTCAGACCTTACCATCCTTATGATTATATTTTAGTATGGTACAATAGGCATAATCTAAAGGCCTTTGCCTTTTATACGTATAAGCCACTTCTGATGCCAAAGGATTAATTAGAAGTCAAGTTACTACTTGTTGTTCCTAAAACTTGGATAGGTAACAAGACTTTTGTCAAGTAGTGCGCTTTTTAGTTACTATTATAAATTAATAAGTTGCCGTTATGGGCCCTTTTAGATATATGAATGTTTTAAAGTTACTGTTACAGTAACATTTTCTTTATCTTTATTTCTGAGAGTGTAACCATGCAGTAAGTACATGTAGTTAATTAACAATACTTAGTATTTAAATGAATAGTCACACAGTTACGTGGACACTTTAAAATAAAGTGTAACCCTATATTCAATGAGACTTTTTGCTGTTTTTTTTTAAGCAAAAAGAGTCCAAATTCAGTTCTGCTCAAGCTTAAAATACAGTACATCAACAGAAAAACTCAGTTCTTTTGAAAACACTCTGCTCTGTGTGGCGTGAATGAATACATCACACCCAGAGCCTCAATTAAATTTATGCATTTTTGCACCTGTCATTTTGGAGATAAAACAATAGGAGAGACAAGCAGCTGAAACAAATGCCTTCCCCCGGCCGCTTTATATGTTCTGCCACACCACTGGCCAATGCCCGCTGTGAGGATTGTCTTCGCTTTGAGCCATCATCAGCATGATACTTGCACAATCCGGAATGTCAGTCTTCTTCTCCTTCCTCTGATTATTGGGTTATCGGGTGATGAACACAATGAATGAATGCTGCTCGGTATGGAGTTGATGCAAACTTTTCGAAGTGTGCTTTATAAAGAACAGGAACTTAAATGATCGGTTTGCCAGTACCCTAGGTGCTTGCTGCGTCTGGAACCAAAGACCTCCACTAAGTCTGATGGTGACCACGCAATGCCAGTCCAATTTCTAATTCTGTAAAGCTTTAAGTCCCCACAGAGCCTTACTTTCAAAAAATCAGGCCTGCTGTGCGGCTGATATAGTTTTCCAGGCCCTCGGCATGATGCATTACTGTGTCGATTGTGATCAGCATGTTTTTCCTGTGTCAATTAGCTTCTGGAAAGCTTTCCCTAGCAGCCCCACCATCACTGCTGAGGAGTCATGCTGAAGGACTAGTACAAATCCTTGCCCCTCCTTGTCTTTTTTTTTCTCGATTTACCTTATCTTTTCCTTCCTCACCGTCTCCATTCGATTTAAAAAAATAAATAAAATAAATGCCTTTACAGTGTTTTTTCATTACCATCGAAATTTAAGGAATTAAATTTGGTTATCATTAAGTTTCCGTCATGTCTTTTTAATTTAATTTAATTTAATTTAATTTAATTTAATTTAATTTAATTTAATTTAATTTAATTTAATTTAATTTAATAAATTTGTGTTGTTTTCATTTTATTTTAGTTTTGCTTTATTTAGATTTTTTTGTGTTGCTTTATTTTATTTTATTTTTTATTTTAGTGTTGTTTTATTTTCATTCCTTCTATTTTATTTTAATTTGTAGTGCTTTGTTATATTTTATTTTTGTTTTGCTTTATTGTATTTTATTTTTGTGTTGCTTTAGTTTATTATATTTTAGTTTATTATTTTATTTTATTTTATTCTTGTGTTGCTTTATTTTATTTTATTTTGTGTTGCTGTATTTAATTTTTTTTATTTAATTTTTGTGTTACTTTATTTATTTTTTTTTTTTTGTGTAATTTACCGCATAGTTAAAAAAAAAACATTACAAAATATGTTATAAAATTAGAAATCTTATAAAGTTACCCTAATAATTACAGTTATTATTGTAAAGTTAGCATAGTTTTACAGATTCATGCTAAACTGGCATATTAAGGCAAATTTTAGTTTGAAGTTATAAAAAAATAAGGCTTGCATTATTATAAATAACTGTTTTTTACTTGGTATTTTAAGCTAAATTTAAGTGTTTATAGTTTTTTATTCAACAAAAATGGATTCTTTATTTTGTTTGCTTTAATTTGGTCATGGTATTTTTAACAATGTGCAAGATCTGTTTGCATTTACATGTAGCTGTACAGTATCTGTAGTGAAATTGTTAGCCATAGTCACATGTCAAAGATGGTCAAATTTCAAAGCTCTGAGCTAAAAAAAATTCTGAATAAATGTGTAAACAGAAGTGTCACAATTTACCCTCCATTTTTATATATGTTCTGGATTGACTAAGATTAACTATAAATCCCTATCTTTAATAGTTCTTGTTATCGGTTTCTTACCAGTTTTTTTGTAACAGATTTGAAATTCTTATCTTAATTTGTATTTGTCTGAACTCTTTATCTTGTCCCGATTTGTGTCGTCTTGCAGAGCTGAAGCATGAGATTCTGGTGTGGAGGCAGACAGCCCATCGCATTAACCCTGCCAGCCGAGAGGAGACCGCCGTCAAGTGTCTTCTCATGCAGAAGGTGCTCAATCTGGAAAGCCTCCTGCGCAAGAAGCTCAAGACCTTCCAGAGGTGCTGTTCTCTATGTTGTCTGTCTGCTTAAAATTGAGGCAGTCTGGCTCACGCTGTAAATAGTTGTATGTTAAAATCAAAGATGCACAGTATGTTGGATATAAGCATATTTTTGTTGCCATTTCATTTGCTGATTTTAGTGTTCACTTATGTAATTAAATTAAATTAAATTAAATTAAATTAAATTAAATTAAATTAAATTAAATTAAATTAAATTAAATTAAATTTAATTTAATTTAATTTAATTTAATTTAATTTAATTTATCCATGCAAATCCCTGTTTTACATTCTGTAAATATTGATAGTTTGTAACACGCTGGTATAAATTCTGATTTACTGTGTAATTTAGAGGAAACTTTGAAAAATATTTCACTAAATCAGACACTTAGAACAACACCCTGGATTTCTTACCATAATAATTACAATTATTATAATAAAATTAACATGGTTTAACAGACTAAAGTGCTAAACTATCACATTAGGGCTAATTTTGGTTTCAAATAATTATTTGATAAGGTGGAAAGTAATGTAATTCAAAACTGACTTGGTGTTTTTGATGAATGTTAAAATCATGAATGTAGAGTGTTGAATATAAGCATATATTTGTGATTGATTTTAGTGTTTACTCATGAGTGCAAACAAATAAAAAAAAAGTACATTTACTGTGTACATTTTCAAGCCTTATTGACTATTATAAGCCATTTTGACATCACATATATGATATTAAACTATATACATATTACTCATCTCTAGTCCATCCACCTCATAAATATGACTTTCTTTCTTGTACTAAAGAGAAATCAAAGTTTTTTACTATAACTTTGCATAAGTCATGCAAGAGATAGCAAACTGAAGCATCTCATGAATGTGCAACACAGATTTATTTTTTTCAAGAATGATTGGAGCTGATTAATTTGCTTGGGAAAAACCTGTACTTGTTGTCATGTGGATTACTAAGAAATTAGGCTGCTCAAATTAGTCCTGTCACAATATCTATTTTTTGTTGTGTGATATATTGCAACAAAATATATTGCGATAAATTATATTATTTTCATTTTAAGAGCATTTTATGCCACTCATTAATAATGCCAGAATGACAATATTATATCATCCCAATGCAAGCACACTCTTCCAAAGAACACATAATATTTTATTCTTAAGAATATTTAACTATACTATAGTTATTTTACCAATGTAATAATTAGGTTGGAATCAAAGTGTATAAAACGGATATCCTAAATAAGTCATAATAAATGTTAACAAAAAAGTTAAAAAGTAACAGAGGCTGCGGTATCTGCTACCAGATCTATTTTCATTTGTCAGACACCCACATGAAAATATACTTCACTATTTTATAGTAAATACTACAGTATTTTTAACCATACTGGCACCTTTAATAGAGATAGAGATGTTGCGTGATCAGCTAAAATGTTGCTAGAATTAGTTTTTGAGTATAGGCGATATACAGTTGAAGTCAGAATTATTAGCCCCTCTTTGAGTTTTTTTATTTTTTTATTTTTTTTTTTAATTTCTCAAATGATGTTTAGCAGAGCAAGGAAATTTTCACAGTGTGCCTGGTAGTATTTTTTTCTTCTGGAGAAAGTCTTATTTGTTTTATTTCAACTAGAATAAAAGCAGTTATAATTTTTTTAAATACCATTTTAAGGCCAATATTTTTAGCTATTTTAGCTAATTTTTTTTACGACTGTCTACAGAACAAACCATCGTTATACAATAACTTGCATAATTACCCTAACCTGCATATTTAACCAAATTAACCTAGTTAAGCCTTTAAATGTCACTTTAAGCTAAATAGAAGTGTCTTGAAAAATATCTAGTCAAATTATAGTATGTTTAGAAATGTGTTGAAAACAATCTTCTCTCTGTTAAACAGAAATTGGGAAGAAAAAAAAAAATGAGGGACGAATAATTCAAGGGGGCTAATAATTCTGACTTCAACTATATATTGCATCTCCAAAAATGATTGAGGTCTTGTCCATGTGTTGTGCAATAAGTCGATATATTGATTATTGTGACAGGCCAAGCTTAAATATGTATTTTGGATCATCACAAATGTTGTTCCCTATTCACATTCCTTAGATTCCTGGAGAAAAATCCTCCAAAACCTTAATTTCTCTTCAGATGAAGAAAGAAAACTCTCGCCAACAACATTAGCCAATCATATGGTAGCAACTCAGTGAAATGAAGCCTGTATAAGTTCTACATAAAGTGTGAATTATGATCAGTTACGAATTAATATAATCTTATTTCCCAGTTTACTGGGTTAAAATAAAATTAATGAATGAATATATAATTCAAAATGTATAAATAAATATTATTTTACATGTGGTCAAAATACATATAAAATATTAATTGATTGAATTTGCAGAAATTGTACTATATTGTGAAATATATCATAATCATAATACGAAGTGATTTGTATTGTGATAAAAAAAATTTTGTCATATCTCCCAGCCCTAATTTAGATGAGAAAGACAGAATTTGATATAGACTACATGAAAGCATGAATCCATCCTGCTAGTGCTGAAATGGCGTGGGAGACATTTTCTTAGCACACTTTGTACCTCTTAGTGCATCATTTAAACACCACAGCCTACCACCTGAGCATTGTTGCAGGATATGTCCATGCCTTTATGACCACAGTGTACCCATCTTGTGATATTTGCTTCTCTGAGGATAATGCTCCATTTGTGACAAAGCTCAAATGACCTCATTGAGTTCGCAATGCAAAAATGACTCCACAGACACCAGATCTTAATCCCCCAAAAACACCTTTGGGATGTGATGGAATGGAATATTAATGTTATGTATTTGCAGCCAAAAAAAATCTGATCTAACTGCGAGATTCTATTATCTTAGTATGGGCCAAAATCTCTAAGAAATGTTCCTAAGCATCTCTTTGAATCTATGCCATAAAGAGTTAAGGCTGTTATGGAAGCAAAAGTGGTTCCAACCAGAAAATAGTAAGATGTACCTAATAAAGTGGCCGATGAGTGCATATATCGGATGGGCTTGGGGTGAGTAAATAATGAGGATATTTTCAGAAAAGTGTCTAGATATCAGATCACTCGAAAACACCCTATTAGGTCCAAAATATATTCATTCCAACTGCATGACACCTGTTGTGTCTGTCAGCAGTACATGCCCAGAAGCCCAGAATGATAAATGAGAAATAATTAACCTGTAGAAAAGTAGGTAATTGTTCTCAATTGTGTCTGCCCTCGGAAGTTCTTGTAGAGAGCTGAAATTTTAATCACACAGACTAATTTTGTTTTCAACAGTAGCCTGTTTTATATATATATATATATATATATATATATATATATATATATATATATATATATAAATATATAAATATATAAAACAAACAGGCAATATATAACAGTATATATAACAAACAGGCTACCTCTCGTTCTGGAAAGAAAAGGTTCGGGGTGACCACATGAAATCGCCACGCCTACTCATTTGCATGTGTACATGCTGGCTGAAAGGATATATTAACACACTCTTATTCTGCGTCGTTCCCTTATTTTTTTACAGGCAGATTTCGCAGGAAGACAAAAACTGGGAGCACAATATTCAAGAGCTGCAGAAAAAGGTAAAAACAAAGCTGCATTAAGATGGCTCTGGTTGATTGAGTGTTGGACCTCTTTGCTAACCCTAATTTCTAATGGTGCTGTTGACTTGACTGTATGTTGATAACAACCAAAGCAATCCACATATATATATATATATATATATAAACTATTTTAATTAGTTTACAAATGAAGTCGTGTGGAATAAAATTAAATGACACAGGAAAAAAGTATTGAACACATGTATACATATGTGTATAAATATATAGAATATATTATATTTTAATTAAAATAGAAGGAAATAAAATAAAAACAAATGGTACCCTTTGTTATAGCCCCAGGGCCCAGTGTGTTTATTCTGGGCCTAATAATAATAATAATAATAATAATAATAATAATAATAATAATAATAATAATAATAATAATAATAATAATAATAATAATAATTATTATTATTATTATTATTATTATTATTATTATTATCGTTAATTCATTAATTTTCTTTTCGGCTTGTTCCCTTTATTAATCTGGGGTCGCCACAGTGGAATGAACTGCCAACTTATCCAGCACGTTATTACACAGAAGATGCCCCTCCAGCCGCATCACTGAGAAAATTATTATTATTATTTTTAAGGCCTACAGTGGCTCTGAAACAATCATTTCTCAGCATCAGTTGCACAGCAGCAAGAAGTTTGGCGGCGATTATTCATTTATTTATTTTCTTTTCGTTTTAGTCCCTTTATTATTATTATTATTACTGTTGTTGTTGTTGTTGTTATTATTATTTTTTATTATTTTTTTATTATTAAGGCCTTGCTCGGAAGCAGTCATGCAAACCAGGTTTTGCTTGGAAATGACTAACTTTGATCGGCTTCAGTTGCACAGCAGCAAGACTTAAGCAGCAAGCTATGACCTTATTTTAATGACAAATGTGTAACAATACCTCTAATTTACATATAATTGTAAAATATAATTAAATAATAATAATTAAAAGCCTGGATGCTGATCCGCAGAGGACTACTCTGCAAAGGATCCGGTTTTGTTTGAAAACGGATATGGAATGGACGAAGAATGGACGAAGATTCTTCAGCAACCCTCTGCCCTTCATTATTGTAAATTAATATTAGCTGCTTCAGTTGAACATCTATATCCGGATGATGAAGATGAAACCAGAGTGGATATTTCAGCAAGACAATGATCCTTTTTCCTCACAGCTGTAAACAAATAGGACATACTGTATCTTCAGTTAGCAACCTATCAGAAACACTGGTGGCATATTAAGAGGGCATTTTATTTGGTTTTATTTTAAATTATGAATATGTTGTTCATGTTTCTTTCTTTTTTTACAGCACAGAATAACAGACAAAGTCCTCTTGGTGAAGTGCTTGACTGTCCTCGGTGTGGTCATTTTCATGTTCTTCCTGAACTCCTTTGTTCCTGCCATACATCTGGATTTGGGTAAGTGAGATACAATCAAGGACACAAATAATTAGGATTCATCCGTTTCTATTGCTGAACTGACCCCACTGTTTACATGCCTCGCTGTATAATTACAAGGGCTTGTTTCCTCTCTGTTTGAGCAGAGGAAATGGATTCACAAGAATACTTAGCTATTTTGGAAATGATCAGAAATGTGCCAGCTTTCTGCCACAGAGGAACCATTTTATTTTATGTGCATTATGTTTCACAGATTAGAAATGGAGAAACAAATGCTATTCTAATAAAGCTGGCCACATCTTCCCATGATCTAATTGGTGTGTGCATGAATCCGTCAATGGGTTGATCTCGTAATTGTTTGCAGCTGGGCTTTAAATGCAGAAAGAGACACAAATGCAAAGCCATAACAATGGAGTAGCGTGAGATTGAATAAGACAGTCAGTACTGCTCGCCCCAAAATTAGTCTTGTTTTATGTTTTGTTTTCTTTATGCCTCACAGCCTTGCTTATTGTTCTAGCTGTTTTTTGGAAGTATTTATTATGCTGTAAATGAGATTCTAGTTGACTCTTTATGGCAATTTAATCGACAGTTGATCTGGCCAATCATAAAGCTGATATTCTGTGCCCTTGTCACTATTTCTCAGATGTATGAAAGGGAAATGTGTGTGGATAGCCTCAATCAATGGATGGTAACTACTGCTTAACATATGACTTGAGAGCGAGGACTTGGGACTAATGAACTAATCTTTCCTGTGATTGGACTGGCAATGTTTAATGAATGTTTGTGAATTTTAGTGTGACTCTATTGTAAATGTAATAAACCTAATGAAACAACATAGTCTAGAGCAGTGTTTCTCAACCAGGAAGACCACCAGATCTGCACGTTTTCCATGTCTCCTTAACCAAACACACTTAATTCAGATCATCAACTCGTTAGCAGAGATTGAAAGACCAGTAATGGATGTGACAGACAAAGAAGACATCTAAAACATGCAGTGCTGTGGTCTTCCAGCAATGTGGTTGAGATCCGTCTAGAGATCCTCCCTATTGACATGACTTCTCTTGTTCTGTTATATAAGGGTAATTCTGCTACTTTTTTGATGGCGTTTGACAGTTTTGTTTACAAAATATGATGATCATTCCATTTATCTTAATGAATGTGATCTCCTTGCTGCAATATAATTACTATTTATACAATCTTGTCAAAAGTTTGGGGTCAGTAGGATTTTTAAATGTTTTCAAATAAGCTTCTCCTGCTCACCAAGGCTGCATTTATTTATTAAAAAAAAACAGTAAATTGTAAAAATTGTGAAATTTTATTGCACTATAAAATAACTATGCAAAAGAAGATTATATATTAATTTAATATGTTATTCCAGTGATTGTACAGATGAATTTTCAGCTTCATTACTCCAGTCTTCAGTCACACTATCTTACAGATATCATTGTAATTTTAAATATTATTATTGTTATTGTTATTATTATTATTATTATTATTAATAATAATAATAATAATAATAATAATATTAAAAGCAATAATGACTGAAGTAATATTTCATTTGAAACAACATATAATAAGAAAGCAGTAATATAAAATTGTAATAAGTATTTAACAATTTAACAAGTTGTTTTACATTCGACAAATGCCACCTTGATGAACAAATTAATTTCCTTAAAAAAAAAAAAAAAAAACTGACCCCAAACATTTGACTGGTAGTGTATAAATAAACTATAGACACACACTTCTTTTTGATTGGCACCTAATGCTGTTAATTATTAACTTAATGCTGTTAGTTTTGTATTAATTAAACAAGTCCAATGATGTGAAATTTATAATAATGACTATATCTGGTAACATGAAGAAGTGGATGATGCGGCTGCATGATATTTTCAGACACATTTTATAGACAAGATTCATTTTCTTATGGGTAATTTTATGTCCTTACAATGGTGTAGCCCTGAACCACTGGTTTAGAGATCCTTCCAATTTATATGACTTCTCTTATTCTGTTACTGTATATAAGAGTAATTCTGCTACTTTGTTGATGGTGTTTGACAGTTTTGTATACAAAATATAAGGATCACTGTGTTTATTCTAATGAAAATGATCTCCTTGCTGCAATATACTAACTATATATACACTATCGGTCAAAAGTTTGGGGTCAGTAGGATTTTTAAATGTTTTAAAAAAAGCTTCTCCTGCTCACCAAGGCTGCATTTATTTAATAAAAAAATACAGCATAATAGTGAAATGTTATTGCACTATAAAAAAAACTGTTCAAAAGTAGTTTATCATTTAATTTAATAAATTATTCCAGTGATTATAAAGATGAATTTTCAGCTTCATTACTCCAGTCTTCAGAGTCAGGATCCTTCAGTAATCACACTTATTATTTTGATTTTGACATGATCCTTTTCGCAGCTCTGTATGACAGAATTTTGCTAGCACAAGTCTTGTGTGACTGTGGCATTATTGTGTTACCAATGGTGGGTGGCAGTTTGGGTGGCAATTGTTTTTCACAGGGTGGTAACACCGTGCCACCCCAGTAGATCCACCCCTACACTCACATCCTGAATGTATACCTTGTATGCATATTGCAGAGCTTTATGTCTGATTCTGTCGGATATCAGTGTGTTATTTTTCCAGAAATTATTCACTACAGTATTTCTCAGGAGGAGTGCACAAATTGATAAAGCATCACTATTGCCTTCAAGCTTGTCGGATAGAGAAGTGGGGTGGGGCTTTGTGAAGGGTTAATTAGGGATTGAGAACTTTACCAAATGCTATTTGTGAGTATGAGTTGGTCAATCAGAAAAGATAGTTCACGTAAATTATTGTATTGTTTGGATCTGATTGTTTATTAATAAACAATTCTCATTTGTGGACATTTTAATCTTATGGAGGGTTGACACAATTCTTTGGCACAAAATTATTTTAATTTTCAGTCTCATCTCTTCATACAAACTCCCTCCCCTCCCTTTCCCGCAGCTGTGTACATAATTAATTGGCCCTGATCGAAAAAAATAATCACTGTACATTACCATTTTGGAAAAACAGCATTGTTCTACTTTCAAATTCTCCTCAGTTCCTCGTTCTGATCAAAACCAGGGTCGACCAGCATGGGCTGCAAATGACTGTCATTAGACTTTCATTAGGTTGACACATCACCACTCTGTTTGACCTTTGATATTGATTATTTAATCATGGGCGAGGATACAGTGTGCCTGCTGGAGGGCAGTGAAGCACACAGGATGCGCTGCGCTCAAAAAGCCCTACACGACTTTCCAGCGAAAAGCACATTCATGACAATTAAGTGATACTTAAACCCCAAGGCCATCCATTTCTCTGAAAAAATTATGCAATTACAGTTTGATTCTTCCATGATTGGCTACTGAACATCATGGAGGACAATTCTATGTGCAGCATTAGCAATGATTGACTTTTTTGATTTTTAGGTTGTTTTGAAGCTGTTTAGAGGGGGAAAGGGCTCTGAAATGACATTTTTGTATGCCAGGCATTTTCAAGGAAATATCAATAATGCTCTCAAGGTGAGACAATAAGATATTTACATGCTCAAGATATCGAACGTTTCATAAATAAACATTATTAAAGATTTGTTGCTTATTAATGTGAGTTTTGAGTAGCCTGCTTGAAGTCTCAGCAGCGACTTTGCTGGCTGAATGTACATCATAAAACTCAATTAAGCACAACAGTTTAATAATCAACAACAAAATATAGAGCTTTGAACTGAATATTTTATAATAAAACACATTTCTATCTAGATTGCAGTCAAAAGTTGAAAAGTTATGTAGTCACAGTGTACATTTACACACATACTAAATAGCAAGCTTAACTAAAATATGGACCAAACCAACAGCTTTGCTTGTAATGGTGCATATTTTATCCAAATTACACAAGAATGTGGCTCTGGCCTTATTTATATATGGTATTTTAATGTTTTTTTATTGATTTGATCACAAGTGGTGGACAATGATAAATACAGGTGTAGTTGAAAACACATTTGAACCTATTGTATTACTACTATAGAGCTGGAGCTCTCAAAGACTCAACTCAAATGTCCAAATCTGAATTTTTATCCATGTCAAAGGTCCAGAAAATTTGGTGATAACAAAACTTGTTTTTACTAAATATGCACATACTATTTAAAAAATGACTTTTATATTGTTTAAATAAAGTATATTAATAACAAAATGCAAAAGTGGACAAGAGACACTTAACTGAAGTATCAGCAGCTTTTATGAATGAAATACAATTGGAAAAAGTTCAATGGTATTGTCTATATTCCATCAGCTGACTAAACTTTTGTTTTATAGTGGAGTTTGAGCTTTCCACTTCACAACCATAGACTGTATAAAATTGTTCTTAACACCAAATTTCTTACTATGAATGAAACTGGTGCATTTCCCAAACAACAGCATAACCCGCGGATGAACTATTATAGTACGATGGATTATTTGGGAAAAGGTCGATGTAGCGATGAGTGTTTTCCAAAACCCTAGTTTTTCTGTCGCATAGCTATCATTTGAACCACGTTATTTATAGCATAAAATGTCCATAATGACACTCTATACAAGGTGGAGTAACTACTTTAGAGAAAACCCTATCATTTTTGTGCAATTGCATAACAAAAATCCAATATTAGTTTTGGTAAAAACATGCCCTTGTTTTCCATATTCAGACAAATTCAAATAAATAAATCAAATAAAACAGACAAATTCTGTTTTTAAATAATAGTCACCTAAATCTTTTGTCATGAGCCACGGCTGTGTTCAAAATGGCATAAATATTTTCAAAGTGCACTATAAAGGGAGCACAATTGTCAATATGAAGACTGCTAAAACTGAACTGTTATAATACTTTTGAAGCAAATTACACCTAAGAGAGATGACCTTAATTTTTTTTAACATTCCAAGTTTAAATGTTAGAATGTTCTAAATAAACAGGGATAATGGGGAATAGAACAAAACCAGGAACTTTGCTTCTAACTACAGCTCTAGAGG